TGCTGACTTTAGGAAACAGCCAGAAAAGGAATACCATGGAGTTTCGAAAAATGCAAAAGCAAAACAACAACAAAAAAACCCTGTGATGAAGTAAAGAACAATTTCAGAGCTGCCATTTCACTGGTTCAAAGAATGCTTGCAGTCCCCACTTTAGTATGCTGCTGCAGTAGAATAAATAAGAGTCTCTCCTGCTCCCAAGGTGGAAGAAAAAATTCAGAAGCAGGGGCCAGCCCGGTGGCGCACTCGGTAGAGTGCGGTGCTTGGGAGCGCGGCGGCGCTCCCGCCGAGGGTTCGGATCCCATATAGAGACCGGTCCGCTCACTGGTTGAGCATGGTGCGGGCGCGACACCGAGGGTTGCAATCCCATTGCCGGTCACGGTACGAGCGTGACACTGAGGGTTGCGATCCCGTTACCAGTCATGAAAAAAAAGACAAAAAGGAAAAAAAAAAAATTCAGAAGCAAAGAAGGAGTAATAAAGTTGCATAGAGAGAGCAATCCTACACAGAAAGAGTGTTAGGAATTTAGAACTTTAACAATTTAAATATAAAACCTAAAAATAAAATTAAAACTTTAAAAATAAAACACTGTCTTAATCTAGAATGCCAGCTTTCCAAGAAAGTATAGAATGAATTGCTGGGACACGCCATTCCCATTAACATTAAATATTTATTAGAAAGAATACAAACACTTTAAAAAAAAAAAGAGGAATTTCTTTCCTATGATTTGCCAAATTTAAATTTTTATTTAAAAAAAAATAGGCCATAAAAAGGCAACTTAAGAGAAGAAAAAAATAAATAATGAAGTCTTCACAATCTAGTTTGAAAACACTGGAACTACCCACATATACATAAGCCCTTACAGATTTTCACATGTTTTTTTTCACACCCTTCCTCTTCACTCTCTAACCATATGATCTCCCATATGATACAAATATGCCTTTAACAAAACCACCTACATGTATAAGCAAACACTAATACTCCCAGGCATAAGCAACCACAGATGAACAAAGAGATACACTCAATACATATATAATAAAGTATATATAAGACATTGTGTCATATCCACCAAAACACAGAACAAAAGCTCACAGCACAATGTCACATGAACCCCCACGGGCACTCATATGAACAGGTTTAAGGCCACGCTAAAGCTGGTGAGTCTGGACCTGGGACTTGGTACAGAGGGCACATCGTCCACCCACTGCTGCATGGCAGACAAGAGGATATATGCACATACATCTACCTAAGACCTCATGAAAAAGTCATTCCTGCTGTCCTATCTGATTTGCCCTGAGCCCACCTTCTCCTAGGATCATAGCAGTAGCACTCAGGGTACAAGTTGTAAGCCTTCCTTTCACCAAAATCAGAAATCCAGGCCCTCTCTAGTGTAGGGCATAACTGAGGTCTCCCATTCCTAAGAATCCTGTGCTGTCCCACTGTATTCCTCTTTCTCTATGTCACCTCAAAAAAGACAAGTAGTGATTTCTTCCCACCTAGGCCTTTCATCTGATTCTAATCCCTGTCCAACCAAGTCTACACACTCATCCCTCAGTATCTGTAAAGGATTGGTTCCAGAACCCCCTGAGGATATCAAAATCTGTGGATGCTCAGTCCCTGATATAAAATGGCACAGTATTTGCATATAACATATGCACATCCTCCCACATACTTCATCTCTAAGGGCTGGCCCGTGGCTCACTCAGGAAAGTGCGGTGCTGATAACACCAAGGCCGCAGGTTCAGATCCCTATATAGGGATGGCCGGTTGGCTCACTTGGGAGAGCGTGGTGCTGACAACACCAAGTCAGGGGTTAAGATCCCCTTACTGGTCACCTTTTAAAAAATAAAAAATTTTTATTTATTTATTTATTTATTTATTTATTTATTTATATTTTTTTTTTCCTTTTTTTTTTTGTGTCCGGCAATGGATTGCAACCCTCAGTGTCGCGCCCGTACCAGACCGGGACCGGCAACAGGATCGCAACCCTCAATGTTGCGCCCGCACCTCACTCAGCCAGTGAGTGGGAACCGGTCTGTATGTGGGATCCGAACCCTCGGCGGGAGCGCCACCGCGCTCCCAAGCGGCGCACTGTAGCAGTGCGCCACCGGGCCAGCCCAAAAATAAAAAAATTTTAAATGAAGAGAGAGAGTGTGAAGAGAGTGTAATAGTATGAGTAAAAAACAAGGCAAAGAGATTGTTTAATAAAGAAAATAAAATAAAATTTAAGATAGAAAAAAAAATAGGTAGAAATGTCAAATTTCTATTCAGAGGAAGCTAAATGGACTTTAATTAAAGTCTTTTTTCATCCCTACATGGTTAAAGTGAAATATCTGGTCAGATCAGGATTCCTTTCTAAAGGGAAATGTATAAACATCATAGGATATATGCAAAAACATGGGCTTCTCATAATAATCTGTTTTAAATTTATGTACTCACCATGGTCCACAAGCCAGGCCATACACAAAGAATTCAGCTTTTCATCAAAGAATTCCACACCCTATGGATACAGAAAATTCAATTAATACAAATCTCCAAAGTTTAGAAATCAAAATGGTCAATTTATATTACACCAATTTTATCTGAAGGCTAAAAAACACTTTTTTCCAAATAAGCTGACTTTAGGAAACAGCCAGAAAAGGAATACCATGGGATTTACAAACAAACTATAAACTTATTTTACTGGACAGAAATCATAAGGAAAGAAAAGCATACATGAGATGGCACAGACGCTGCTAAGTAGAGTTGCCAGAAGCCAGATATAATACTGCAGAAGAGCAGAAAGGACACAGTGTGGACAATCTGCAAAATAAAATCTAGATTACCTATAAAAATGAATTACCCAGGAAAATATCTATCAGTAATATTAATAATTCTCAATTGTCTTCCCTTCTACTTAATATCATAACAAATCCTTAAGGACAAAGCAACTGACATCAAGACGTAGAGATATCCTCAAAGAGAGTATTTCTGGGATGATGGGAGAAAGCACTGGAGGGAGAATAAAGCAGACACTCTTATGTACCAGGAAAGGGGACCCAGTGTGCAGTCACAGGTACAAACATCCTGACAGGTACAGCCCTGCTCCTCCTGACTGTCAATGGGTGGCCACTGCAGCACAGGCTGGGGACAAGCTCCAGAAGCTGACTTACACAGACCTCTCACCCTGGGACTTCTGCACCACGTGGGTGAATGCTGAGATTTGTACCTTCCTAGTGCCTCCTCCTTTCTGGGGTCTACATGTTTACAGTCCCTTGCTTCTTTGGATTCTAAGAAGTTCCCGACCAGTGATTATATATTTTAAATAAAGAGATGTAATATAAAGTTTCAGTGCTCTGAAAACAGTGAATGAATAAGATATAATGGCTTTATATTAACAGATCATTATTTACACGTTTTGGCATACACTTATATTACTGTGTTAGCTTCAAAGATTTCTTTTTCATTTCAGGTTGAGAATTTTCCTTCATTCTTAATTAACTTTTATTTCCCAATTTTTGTGATTTAACTTTACATTTACTTACTTATCATGGTCCACAAGCCACACCATACATAAAGTCTTGAATTTTATAATTTGACTACCTGATATAAAAATTTCTACCGATAAAGAAAAATTAAGGAGAATATATATACTAACAAGTTGAAATTGTACAACAAAATGTTCATGACTAACGTATGTCACACCCCTGTCAGACAGGTGTAAGTCAGCCAATGGCACCAGATGCCTTGCTTTCACACTGTTCTATCTAGCCAGCAACCCTTGGAGAACTTCCAGGTCTAGAAGGAGAGGTTATATGAAACGGTACTAAAATTCTCTCTCCTTTCTGGACAGTTGTTTCAGTCTTCAGCAAACCAGTTAGCCACTGATGCTTTCCGCTCTGGAGAGTTGATCCATGACAGTCACCAGCAAAGAACAAAAGATGACCTTCAGCACTTGGGAGTGACAGAGGGTGACAAGATGACTTTGCCTGACCCTGTTAGCTAATTACTGATATCTTTGGCATCCATTTTGAAGAATGGAACCCTTCAAATTTTATAAAACACTTAATTCCACATGCACATTCATTAGATGCATATAAACTAAATTTACCAAAATTAGCAATACAAAT